GCCACAGCCTACCTGAGTATTGTTGCTGACCATGTCCACCCCTTTATGACCACAATGTACCCAACTTCTGATGGCTACTTTCAGCAGGATAATGCGCCATGTCATAAAGCTGGAATCATCTCAGACTGGTTTCTTGAACATGACAATGAGTTCCCTGTACTCATATGGCCTCCACAGTCACCAGATCTCAATCCAATAGAGCATCTTTGGGATGTGGTGGAACGGGAGATTCGCATTATGGATGTGCAGCCGACAAATCTGCGCCAACTGTGTGATGCCATCATGTCAATATGGACCAAACTCTCTGAGGAATGCTTCCAGCACCTTGTTGAATCTATGCCACGAAGAATTGAGGCAGTTCTGAAGGCAAAAGGGGGTCCAACCCATTACTAGCATGGTGCACCTAATAAAGTGGCCGGTGAGGGTACAGTACAATGCAACCTATTAACTAAAAATAGTAAATAACAGATAAAAAGGTTACTGTAATTCGCTGTACTGTCATCACAAGTATGAATCCAAACTGTATTTGGCAAAATGATAGTGAATCAAGTATTTTTCTGGGTCTGAGAGACCACTGCAGGACCACCAAAAGTGGCTGTAGCAGGGAATGAGAGGAAAAGAAAGATGAGTGGATGCATCTCATTGAAATGGAATTCGACAAAATAGAACATCATTGGATCAAATCTGACAGCGATGATTAACCCGCGAACACTGAACTTTGGATAGAATTCCTTTGGCACAGATGAATGCATGACCACTCTAAAACAAAACCGTAATGTTAAGAAAATAGCATCCATTGATGTATCGAAAAAATTCAGCGAACTATTTGATGAACACCACGGGCCGAGTAAAAACCGACGGCGGAGGACGACGGCGGAGGCGGCGGCGCGCCCCGGCCCCCTGAGTCCGGAGCGGGGAGAAAACTAAATAGGTGGCGGCGGCGGCGGCACCGGCCGCTGAGTGGTGGGTTCAATGTCTTCTTGTTTTATGGTTATTTTGTTTACATTTTTGATGGGAAAAAAAAAAAAGATTAAAAAAAAAAAAAAACT